TTTTTCTCGTCGGTTTTGCGTCTGTGTAAAAACCTAGGTCAATTCCTGACGTAAAAAATCCCCCTCCTCCCAAATTTCCAGCTCAAGTATTCGATTATTGAGCTCGCAGGAGATACGTGTGGGGAATATGAACTGTATGGTAAATCCTCTCAATACTAGGACCAGCGTGCATTTTCCCTCGAGGTATTCGAGGAGATAATCGCATTTCCTTTCTCGACGCGTCCAAAACGCGTCGCGAACGCGTTCAACACGCGTTTGATCGCTCCTGATGCCGAGATGTTTGTTACTTACTGTGACTGCGTCACTCAAATAAGCGCTCTGTGAGGCGGAGTGCAGCTAGATGTAGTCCCTCAAAGTGCAGCAGAATTTAAGTAATTATTGTTTGGTATCGATTTGGGTGGGAAGGTAAAAATATCAGCAGCGTATAATACACAGCAATATGCTGTTATTTCAACCTCTTTTCACCCCCCCGCGACCCCTTCTTTAAAATGAGTTTTATCCCCAGTGGCCTATAAACATCGGTCCTCATGTATATGTCACTACAGGACAGAGTACCCGCTAACAAAGCCTAGGAAATATATGTTTATGCCAGGAAGTAAGCTCTAACACTAGTCCATGAGGCGCGCAACAGTAATGTGGAAACCGCTACCCAGAAAATGGGGAATACGAGGAACTGAGGTAGGGTGGGCAAGGAGCTGAAACTCCGTGCAGGCGCAACACCGCTGCGGGGTTCAACGGGGACAGGTGAATATCTGAGCACCGACACCTCCCCTCTCGAAGGCACACAGTCTCGAAGGGAGGGCGGGCAAGGAGCTGAAACCCAGCGCAGGCGCAACACCGCTACGGGGTAGACTCATAACCAGTCTGCCTACGGAGTGTAAAAAATGTGGCGAGCACTTTTGCCGTAGGCAGACTGGTACTTCTCGTTCGCGAGTAATCGGGCCTATTCAGATCACAAGCCAGATCTGGCAACACCTGGATGGAAAAAAAATTATAATGAAGACCCCGACCCGGACTCGTTCTGCCATGCGCATGCAATGGCCTAAAGCACAAGTGGTCAACTGGTTCTGCATCGGTGACTGTCCAGTTCCCTCCGCACGAAGCATACCACTCATCATCTGTAGCTCTCTTCATCCTGTTCCATTTATGGGGAGAGGTTTCCATGATCTCCTACTGCCCCGCCGACAGCATGATCACGCTGGCATGCGTCCCCATCGGCCTGAATGTAATTCTGCCCGTCGCGATCTTGACCAGTCGTGCGTACCCCTCCCACAGCATCCACCCCACCTATATATTCTGAACCCTCCATGCATGCAGTGACTTGCGGCTGCTGGACAGTGTACCATCGCGCCGTCGCAATTCATGGCGAGACCGAGATCGTGTTGCCCGCGGATACGCCTCACCCCGCGAATTTCGGGGCGAGGAGGTACCCTGCCGGGAGCCAAGTTCCCCTCTGGATGCTCGCCCATGTTGCGGAGACCGAGCGTGTCAATGATGAAGAAGCGAGGAATCCGGTTGCGTTGGTATGATCTCTGATCTCATCTCGCCATTGTTCTCGGCTACTATGTATTTCATGCTCACTTTATCTGCTGCCGTATCCATCTTTAGTTTCTATACCTACTTGGTTTTTCTTCCTGAATCCGATGCCGCTGACACTGTACTATTGCTCTCCTGGATTGGATCTTCCTTGGATGCTGCTAAGTCAACCAAAGGTCAGCTCCTGGGTGCGCCACTCAATACACACGGCACTCACAATATATAACGTCTGTCGTTCAACGAGTTGAACTCCGTATCGCCGCATCGTATCCTTCAGCTCCGACTCCCCCTGACATCACCGTCATTACATTTTCATTTCTCAAGACTCCCAATCACCATTCACAATGCACTTCGAGCTCCTCGCAACTCTCGGCTTTGCGCTCGGCACCTCTACCACGATTCACTACTATGTATGTCTGCAGTGAATAATTGAATTCCTCCAGCCGTGTTCGCTACACAAGCCAGCCCCGTTCAGTACCCTGAGAATTTCGCCATTCGGGCCCCGGAGGTGCGTTTTTTGCAGGCAGATGAGACATATATCTTGCATGATACATCCCACAGAGCACGGACCAAGGTGGGGCCCGAATTCGCATGGGGATCCACGTCTACGGCAGAAGTATCCTGAGTCATTTTTGAGGCGAGTGGATATCACCCACCTCAACTCGCCGGATCAGAGCTGGAAAAAATAGTGCTGAGCCCGAAATTTCAAGGGACGGAGTTCATAAAAAATCTCCATCCACCCCCATACGTACAGAATGCGAAATCGAAAATAATCAAACAATTATACATGAGTAGTGACAAAAAATTGGTCTGACTACGAGACAACAAGGCCCCTGCCCCGGATCACGAGAGGATGTTTCGTGGTTTCAAAAAATCATTGGTTCTGGAGTTCTCCAGGGACCCGCCGAGTGGACCAGTTCTCTGCAGCTTAATAGTCTCTTGTCAATTTAGGCGACCTGCTTCCCCTGTCACGACCGCTCAAAGGGAGGCCTCGCTCTTGTCCAAAATTCCTTCGCCTTCAGTGAATCCCCACGGTTGTGTGATATCTCCAAGTCTGAGCATGCACTCGACTCCGCTCTGATGAACATCCATTTGCGTGAGCCCATCTAAGGCAACAATGAACATATTGTATGCTGTATCCTTGTCTGCCTGAATTAGCAGTATGTCCCCTAGGAGCTGGAGGCCTTTGTGAATTCCCAACTTCCTTGTTAACTTCAGAGAATAGACAAGGAAGACCGTTGCCCAGCAGAGTCCCAGTCTGTTGAACTCCAACGGTTTCCATCAGCAAGTCTCTCCAGAGACCAGGCCGTATACTCAGTACCATTGACCTGCGATGGGTTGATACATTTCTGCAAATATGACCTTGCAATCACCGGATTCCCAGCTCTCAACTCGAGATCTGCCATGATAGTTTCCAGAATCTGAGAACGGGTATACTGCGCCTCTGTATATTTTGACTTCAATCTGCAAGATTCCCTGTACCCAGATGGAGGCCATGTATGCCACCCAGTGACAGGCAATCCTGATCCTGCTTGTATAGGGAAACAATGTTGTAGTTTCCTAACATATACCAGATGCAACCGTGGATGGACAGTCCTCGGCCCTGCTCGTACAAATTCCCATGACGCTTTGCCAGGTCTTGTGCCCTCGATGAATGCACCAGTCCTGCATTATATTCCCCCTGGAGAGATTGGTGTGTGCTAAAGTATCGAGTGCCAAGGCTTCCATTTTGGAACTCCCAGTTGAAATTGCCACCGAGAGTGCCATCTTAATGAATTTTAATCCAGTGGGGACTGCATTCCGATTGACATAGTAGATGTCAACCCTCGTGTACAATGCATCTTGTGGATCCAGCAGATGCTCAGTATATCACATAAAAAACATGGGGCATAATTATTACTTTCTAGGTCCAGATCATTGAAGCGGTGGAGAGCCCGCGTGATTAATTCTTGCAGATTTGGAATCTGAACTAGTGGCCACATTCCAAGGATCTCTTTGACACATGAAACCCGTAATTTATAGTCCTGAGCTTGGGGTAGGAGTTTAAAACCTTCTCCAACAAGGGGCTCCTCCCAAGGCCAATCATTATACTGAATGAAGTGAACCTCAGGGTGCAGTAGATCAGATGTTCCAGATAGGAATTCTCCTCCCGTTGTAAACCTCTCAAAAACAGATTTTGGATATTTGCATACCCTCCTGAAAACATTCCAGCAGGGGTTCCACTAGAGGCCCAGGAGTAGGGTGCAATTTTTGCATGTACTCCCAGATGGGCACCAAGACATTCAGTCTTTTCCTGTCATCACACTAAGCTAGAGAGGTCCGAAGCAGGAGTCTTGCTCTGTAGGAACTCCACATCTGAAAGCCCATCTGGCAAACAGAGTAGGCTTAATAGATCCTGTGAATGAGGCAAAATCATTATTTGCGGGCTGGACGGGGAGAGGGAAATGGATAGATCCAAATTTGATCTTCTGTCAAAGCCCTCAGAAATCAAAGATGTTCTCTCCCCCTCCCAGTGAGATAATACTGTGGCATATCCCTCAGAGTCCATCAGATGAGCCATAAGATCTATTGCTAGTGCTCTGAAGGGTCCGCATCTCGCAGCCTTTTACATCTCGAGGGCCTGTGTTCTGCAGCCTCTTCAAGTCTCTTGAAAAGATGAGCGCCTCGCAGTCTTTTGTGCAACCAATCATTGAGTAACAATGTTGTATGTGCTCAGTTATCGTTGCTGTGAGTTGAACTGGGATCCTCTTACAGGGATTTATCAAACTCAAGCTCTGCTCGCGAGTTGAGTGGAAATATATTTTGGTAGCTAAGGTTGCAAACAAGGTTCTCAGCGCAGGGATTTACGTGTGCACCACGTCAAAATAACCTGATCTCTAACAACCACACAACTTAAGTTAGGTTGGTTGTGGGAACCAGATCAGTTGTAAACTCGTCGTCAAGGTAGAGTTGTGCAAGAATTGTGAATATTCATGCATCAATTTCTCAGGGCACAGGGTTAGATAGGTCAGATGGTACAGTATACACCATGCCGATGGGGTTCCACTTTTGCCTGTCCCCGAGTCTGCACTATGAGCACAGCATATGCTATACATATCCATTCAGTACAGCTAAGGGAACCATATATATTCATTCCACAGCAATGTCAAAAACGCCGAAATTGCTCACCTTATCACCAATTATCAGTGACAGTCCCTGGCATAGATTTACCCGTGGGCATTTATTACGGTTGCTGTTGAATTTCCGAAGCGAGGTCAACTGACTGCATTTCGAGCTGCGGCAAGGCAGAACAAGTGGGAAATTCTAAGCCCAGAGACATCCATAGCAAATGGTAGCAGGTTTCCGTTGGGCTTTATAGCGTTTCTGCTGTAGTTCAGCCATCTGTTATTCAATCACCGACTTTCTTGGACTCATTCTGCTCAGAATTTATCAGTCTATTAAATACGTCATCCACATTTCATCGCACACTGATGGTGAAGCGGTTATCATGCTTGCCTTCCATTCCGGGTTACGTAATCCAATTAGCAAGCGGCAGGGGTTCGACTCCCCTTCAGTGTATCTTTTATTCCTCGGAACTACCTTTCTCTTTCTTTGCTTCCTAATCCCGGCCCCTTTTCCATTCCGTCCTCTCCCAGTCTCTCTCGTCAATCCCTCCTGATAGAAATACATGAATATCCGTCCGCATATGTACCTCGACCCCCCGTAGATAAGTGAGTAAGTATTAACATAAGTATCGTCCAAGTATCAGCTGGCGGTTGGCCGGTGCTACCGCAGCGCCTCGGGCCACTCGCTCCGCCGGCGCCAGCGCCCGTCGGAGTCGAAGCGCGGGTTGGGACGGTAGTTGAGACCGTCGCCGAGCGGGGCGCCGATGGGGACTGTGGGGGTGGTCTCAGTTCGGTGCATAAGCATGGATGATGGGCGGATGAGGGGAGGAAGGCCGGGGAGGGTGGATGGGGGGAAGGGGGACGGAGAAGGAGAAGGAGACGAGGGAGGATAAAGAACGGAAAGGGGAAGGAACGACGACGGGGAGGAAGCCATGGCGAGAAGAAGTAACCAGGGACTCACAAATCCACCCCCACACACTGCGCCCCATCACGTCCTCCCACCCCGCGCGCGCGGAGCCCGCCCACCACACGTTCCCTTCCGTATCCGGCGCGCCCCACTCCGCGTCATAGGCCACCAGCGCGCGGCGCTTCTCGCTGGAGGCGTGGTCAACTTGAGCCAAGGTATAGGGAGCGACGGGAAACAAAACGCACCTGAAGGATAGGCACCCGACGCCCGCGGCGCTGAGCGCGGCGCCCTCGCGCTCCTTCATGCGCTGCACGCCGAGGCTCTCGACGGTCGTCTGCGAGAGGAGGATGAGCCGCGTGTGCGCAACGCCGAGAGAGCCGGTGAAGAGCGCGAAGAGCGCGGCCCTGGATGGGGGCGTTAGTTTTGGTGCGTGCGGAGTGGAAGGGAAGGAAGAAGCGGCCACGTGGCAGCAGAGTGGGCACGGCAAGACTCACACCGCGATGATCACGACCTCCTGCGGGTCCACGTCCCGCCCATCGTTCGTCGCCCCCGCGACGTTGAACGCGAGCAGCGAGGCGAACGTGTACAGCGTGAACACGAGTGTCGCGAGCGCAAAGTTGAGGAAGAACTTGTGGTTGCGCGCGCCGACGCACTGGCCGATCCCTGAGTGGGAGGTGATTTAGTATGTGCTGGGTAGGGGGAGAAGGGGAGAATAGAGATGAAGTGGCTGAGTGGGACGAAGGCGGGCTGGAGTGGCTCGGGAACGCCGTGGAACCTCGCGCACACAGATCTGCCCGCGGCTCATAAACGGGCGTCGGCGCCCAGATGCTGGTGCCGGTGCACGAACAGCCGCGCGGGTTAGTCCCGCACATGCCACTAATCCCGTTCGCGGGTCTCTGCTCGGTCCCGCGCGCGCAGAGAACAACGCACGGGCGCGGGGGTCGTTCTTCGCGTCCGCGTCCGCGACGGCCTCGCTCTCCGACGCAGACTCGCTCGCCTCCTCGACACCGACACTCGCCTCGGACTGCGCATGGTACGCCTCCGTCGAGCTCGCCGCGAGCTCCACCCCCGTGCTTGAGATTGCTCTCAGCCAACGCGCGGGCCCCACGCGTGCCCGGCCGCCCGCAGGAGGACTGATATCGGCGGAGCTGTTGCTGCCGACGATCACAGTCACAACATCTACGGAACGAACGCGGAAGACGAGGACATAGGAGGGTGTGGGCGAGCGAGGGAGCAAGCAGATAGAGAGGGGGTCGCGCGCCGAGAAAAGAAGGAGCAGGCGATATTGGAGGAAGGAAGTGCCGTGAGAGTGAAAGGAGAAGGGGAGGAGGGAGGTGCCAGCAGGAGTAGAAGGATAGCAGAGGGTTGGAAGGGAGGGGACAGTACGCGGAAGGACAGGGTAGGAGGGGGCGCGAATAGGAGGAAGAGAAAGAATAGAACGTAGGCAACTCACAAGGACAGTGGTGGTCGAATTTGAGGACGCACTAGAAAGCCGGGTCAGTATCCCGTATGTACCTCTGTGCAGTGAAGGGCGGAACATTGCGAACGGGACGCCAAGACTCGTCTTCCCGTGGAAGAAGGGCCGCAAGGGGGGGCCCAAAATAAAAAGAATAGAAAACGCACCGTCCCACAAACGCGACAATGATGTGCCCGGTAGGGCTTCACGATCGCGCAGCGCGCACACCAGCGGTGCGGGGGCAGCAGGGGCGCAGTCGTCGGCGGGAAGCGGCCCCGCGGGACCGGGGCGTCTGGTCGGCCTGACCGCGTGGAGGACTTCCGCCGCGGAGCAGCGGGTGGGGCGCCGTTTGCGTCCCCGTTGAGATGCGGCACGGCGCTCCCGTTGGCGTGTCCGTTCGCAAGGGCCGGCAGGGGGAGCGTCGTGCCCGGGACATGCGCCGCGGGGGGCGCCAGGGGCGAGTTGTCAACGTGGAACTCCTCGTACGCGGGGCCGCCGATGCGCCCCGCCTCGATGTCCTCGAGGGATGCGTCGGAGGGATTTGCGGGCGGATAGGGAGTCTCGGCATTCCATTGGCCGCGGGGGAAGAGCGGTTGGGGCGTTTTTGAGACGTACTGGGGGGGAGGTGCGTAAGTTGCAGCGAAATTCAGAAGGACTCAGCAAAACGCACGTCGCAAGCATTCCCAGGGGGTGTGATAATTACCTGCGGAAATGATGATTAGATTTCGTAGAGTTACAAGATGGAGCAATCGAGGAAGCTGTAGAGATGGGCACCAACCTTCACATACGCCCAGACCATCCACGCGTACAATAAAGACCACCCCACTAGGAGCCCAACTGCTGCCGATCGTCAGTTAAGGTCGATCTCGCTCACTGCACAACCGACTCACCCCCCTCCTTCCGCCGCCCGGTGTTCATAAGCCGCACAGAGAATCGTCCCCCGTAGACATATGCGGTGTATCCCATGATTGCGAGCGTCACGACGATCATGAGCTTGCGCACGACCCACGGCTGGGGTTTGCGCGAACGGGCTTCGCGGCGCTCGCGGGCGGTGTACCGCGCCTCGGAAATGGTGCCGCATAATGCAGGCTTGTCCAGGGCGAGCTTGGAGTTGACGGGCACCACATTTTCCGTGGCCATCGACGGAGAGCGGCCAGAAGAAGCCAGGAAGAGAGAGGAGTGCCGTTGAGGGACGATGACGTAACCGGCATCGCCACACGTGGCCACATAAAATTGATTGACGACCGAACTTCAACCCAGGCGAAAATTGAATTATCGGTACAGTACGTCCACGAATTATGGGGCAATTAAAAATTCAAAGAGAGATCCAACACAGGTACTTCTCGACGGTTTCGAGCAACCTCGAAATGTATGGCCAACCGATGAAACCTTGGCAAGCAACTTGAACAGCGACTGTTTTGTAGACGAATAAATGTGGCGAGTACTCCAACCCCTCTCGACGAAAAAAAAAACATGATTAACGGCATCGTACTTTGATACGTGGGCCGTAATTTAACTTCTCAAGAGTTCAACTGATCACGTGTTGAAGTTGGACCATGGTTGAATTGGCGTTGATGAATTCTCTCTTCGTCAATTATGCTCCCGTACTCGGATTCCAGCTTCCGTAATAGCGCGAAATCCTGTTTTACTTTCCACAGCACTTGCTATGGGCTCAAGAGAATTAGATGTCACTTGAATGAGTCGGACGGAGAATGCGGACCCAGAGCATCAGAGGACCAGCATTTCTTGGTGCCAATACAAATTCTTTGGCCGGCCCACGATTCAAAAACCTATACTTTCAATGCAGCCTCGGTCATTCTCAAGAGGCAGGAGCCCTAGGATGTACAGTGGTTGATGGGCTTCAAACACGCGAGGTACGAGCAATTGCCAGGGTTTGCATCGTCCCAGTCGCGCCTCAACTCTATAAAATCTTCTCTGCTATATTTAATACATACCCGTACCTGGAATCACAGAGTCCAATGTGACCTCCAACCACAAGCGCCGACTTGGCTTCAGCATCTCACCGTATCGAGCCTTCGGGAGGCGTCTGTACGTACGAAGTAATATCATCTTGCAAAGATTGCTGACAATATGATATTACCTGCGCGAACGGGTCAAGTCTTCTATTCAAAGGAATCAGCGGCGTCATATGCCTAACTAGAAATTAGGTCGTGCACACAAATATTTAAAAAAACAGGATGATAGGTCCATAAATCGAGGGAATGCCGCCGCCTGCCGAACTTGTGGATCAAATGGAAGGTACATATTTGTGTATTTTCGTAACAGCAACAGCGCTGGATTTTACCTTGATTTTACCGCGTCTCCCTTGTTGTCGTTTCAACTTCTGGGACTCGAAGGGTGAGTTCTCTCACTGCAAACCTGAGTTATGTTCTGTGGGATATCCCCTAGCCGTCCCGGGCAGGACTTTCTGCTTTCCCAAATGAGCGCGCTCAACATGTGGGAGATGGAATCAGAGAAGATGGAATCAGAGACCGACACTGCCTCAAGTCATCGGAGTTCAGTCATCGGACATGCATTCGACATCATGATGGGGCTGCGGGAGGGTGATCGCGGTAGCGTTGTCCGGCATGCCTAATGTGGGTCAGGGCCTTGGCGTTAAATAGTGGGGGGATCGTGGATGGATTTCAGATAATCACCCCTTGACCCCGCCTTCCCTCTTTCCTCCCAAACATGCTGGACACCATATCCAAACTACAAATTTTTGTATTCGCCGCAATATCCCTAGTTCCAGGGACCACCATGCGCTACATAGGCCTCGGCCTCACCACAGCATCATTGCTGATTTATGCTGCCCACCATAAAAGTCCGTCGCAGAGGTTGGACCGGCTCGAAAACTCGATCAAGGTTACCGAGGAAATTTTGGAAGGCGCAAAGATGGATTGTGCGAGGGACCATGTGGAACTAATGTGCAGAGGGAATCGCTTGTGCCAGTACGTTCATCCTCGCTCGCGTTCGCCAGAGTATAATACAGATTTTAGGGCCAAGATATTGGCATCCAAGATCCAGACTCGCATGCTTGAGGCAGAAGATACCACTTGGGAGGAATATTTCAAGGCTATTAGAGGAATTA